ATGAAAGCATGACTGAGCGTGGCGGTGTTTCCAGGGCTTTGAGGGGGGCAGTTCGGGCAGGTGAGGCAGGAAGGAGCGGGGAGGGCATGTGGAGAGCTGGAGCCGGGCCCCTGCCCGTCTGTGGTGGGAAAACAGCCGCTCCCCCTGGGCTGAAAGCACGGGGCTGCCCCCGGAGACTGCAGTGCCAGACGGAGCAGAACGCACCCCCCACCCCCCGGCTGGCAGTGGAACCGGGAGACGCGGCATCGGGAGGAGTCCTGGAGTCTGTTCTTCCCAGCCCTGCTTCCTCCCAGCTCTCTCTTAACTCCCTCGTCTCTGGGCCTTAGACTCTTCATCTCAAAAAGGAGCGGGTTCGACGCCGTCAGTGGCTCTCCGGTCTTTGGTCAGTGACTGACTCACTGGAAGGAGTATAGTGGACATCTCAGCTCAGCCTAGATGCACATGTAACCTGAGTTTCACTTAACAGTGCTTGCCCTTACTACCTGCTGTGTTCTCTAGTCCTCTTTATTCATTTATAATTTATTATAATTTATACATTCACTTTATAAACTTATTGAAGCACAATGTGAGTACTGTGTATATATATATATATATATATACACACAATGTATGTGTCATAGATAAAGAGCTGGATAAGCTCTCCCAAATTGAAAACACCCATGTACTCAGCTCTCAGATCAAAAGACAGACTATTATCAACACCTTGAAAGCCCCCCTGTGCTTGACCCATTTTCTAGCCCCTCCCCCAAGGATCCTGATTTCTAACAATATGGATTAGTTTTGTCTGTTTTTATACTTAAGATGAGAAGGAAATGGCAACCCACTCCAGTACTCTTGCCTGGAAAATCCCATGGACGGAGAGGCCTGGTAGGCTGCAGTCCACGGGGTCGCTAAGAGTCCAACACAACTGAGTGACTTCACTTTCACTTTCCACTTTCATGCATTGGAGAAGGAAATGGCAACCCACTCCAGTGTTCTTGCCTGGAGAATCCCAGGGATGGAGGAGCATGGTGGGCTGCGTTCTACGGGGTCGCACAGAGTCGGACACAACTGAAGCGACTTAGCAGCAGCAGCATACTTAAGATGAATGTTGTCACAAAGTTTCTTTGTGCCTGGCTTTTTATTTCAACATTATACTTGTGAGGGCCATTGATACAGCAGGGGACAGCATTCCATTGTGTGGCTGTTCCACCGTTTATCCACGCTGCTGCTGCTGGTCATGTTTTTGGGTGCACAGGTGTATGCATGTCCCATGTGTGTATCTAAGGACGGAACAGCTAGTATGCATACGCTCTGCTTTAGTTGACATCACCAGGCTGTTTTCCAAAGCCATCATCCCAGGACTCTCCTATCAGCCATACATGAGGGTTCTGGTTGCTTCGTGCACGCATTCTCATGTCTGACTCTTTGCGACCCCATGGACTGCAGCCTGCCAGGCTCCTCTGTCCCTGGAATTTTCCAGCAAGAATACTAGAGTGGATTGACATTTTCTCCTCCAGGGGCTCTTCTGGACTCAGGGATCGAACTTGTGTCTCCTGCATTGCAGGCAAATTCTCTACTGCCTAGTTGCTTCACATCTTTGCCAATGTGAGATATTGTCTATCTTTTTCATTTTAGCCCTTCTCATGGGTGGATAGTGGTATTTCATTGCTGGTTTAATCTGTAATTTCCTGGTAACTGATAATGCTTTCATATGCTTATTGCCTATTTGGATATCCTCCTTTGTGAAGTGTCTGATGTATCTTTTGCTTATTTTTCTATTAGGTTGCTTGTCTTTTCCTTCTTATTTGTTGGAGTTTCCTCTTTTTTTCTACTACACAGTTGACCCTTGAACAACATGGGTTTAGATGGCGTAGGTGCACTTAGATACAGATTTTTTTCAACAGCAAATGCTACAGTGCTATACAGACAATGGTTGATTGAATCTACAGATGCAGAGCCTTGGGACACTGACAAACCATGTAAATAGGGGGGCCACGCTAAATTATACCGGAATTTTCAACTGTGCAGAGGGTCAGTGCCCCGATCCCTGCCTTGTTCCAAGGTCAAATGCATATACTTTGGACATGAGACCTGTGTTGAATACACATAATGTAAATATCTTCACCCACTCTATGGGTTACTGAATCACTTTGTTTCACTTTAATGCACGATGATCTTGAACCACCAAATTAAATTCATGACCCACTAATGGGTCACAACCCATAATTTGAAAAAAACTGCAATACACGATAATGCAGTTTTCCTTGGAGCCAGAAACCCTGAAAGGGACACCTTTGGCCAGTGGCTGCCACTGAAGTGTGAGCCTGGGGCAGGACCTGGCATGAAGAGCCGGCCGGTATCTGGAGAGCAAAGGCCACGCTATCAGCTATCAAAATTTCCAAATTTAAACAGCAACCTTGTTCTACACCTCCAATGACAACACAGTTCTCAGTCCTCCTGAATTTAAGAGTTACCAGCCCCACAGCCCAGACTGAGGCAGGGGACTCAGAAGGGTGGTGTGGGAACACCTCTGGAATGAGCGTTTGCAGAGGGCGAAGAGTGTGCTCACCCATGTGGGCTTTCCGTCCTCCAAGGTGCCCGGACCCTTGGGGGAGGGTCTGGCGGAATCTAAGATGCCTTTGGAGGTTCCTTTCAGCCAACAGGTCAAGAGGACTTTCCCTAAACTCTGATAAACTCCGTTAACCATGCAAGAAGGGCACACACACGTTCCGGGTGCCTTCTTCGCATGAAGGGTAGCTTCTACGCAGTTCCCTCCCTCAGACTAGCCTGGCCTATAAACTCTCTAGGCTCCATGCAGACAGAGGCTGGGACACTCATGGACACACTCGTGGCCAAGGGCATGCAGTTACAGAGCAAAGCTGACCAGCCCTGCAGCCTGTGTTTCATTCCTATGTCATACTCTTTCTGGGCTGCCAGTCACCATGGAGAGTGCCGACACACCCAAAGGGGCTCTCACACGTGCACACAAACTCACACTTGTGAGCAGACACACACAGACATATGCACGCATGTACACACATGTTGTCCTGCTCAGGAATCTGTGGGCTGGACCCTACTGCTTCATTGCATGTGGAGTTTCCCCCCTCTCCTGATGTCCAAAGTAGGGAACCATCTCATAATACATGAATAATACAAACATACCTAGATGCGGACGGTACCTGACAGTGTGTATATCTTGTTCACAGCTAATCCCTCATCTCAACCTCACAACCAGCCTTCTGAACTTACACAAATACATGATGATTCTCCAGCGCCTGGGTCTACTGGGGGTCCAAGGACCTTCCTTCTGGGGATACCAATCCTAAGTATCCATGACTAGGGCTGTGCCAGCTGCCAGAGGTTGGTAGAATTTTGCACCTCCTCAGATCCTCTCTACAAGTTTCCCATATAATTGTATATTCCACAGCAACCAATCTTTCCTTGTCTGATTCTGAGCAGAGTTTTAATTTCATGAACTTTCCAAAGTTGGCCTTGTGTTTGCATGAGAGTTTACGGGATGTGGCCACTCTTCCCCCATCCCTAACAAGCACGCCCACAGATTCACGCTTCTCTCTTGTTAGCGTCTTTGCCACCTGCTGTCTTCTTCTCCAGCTGGAGGTAAGGCGCACCATCACCACTTATGCGACTACTAGGAGTTTACTGAACACTTCCTACGCACCAGGTACCAAGCGCTTTATGTGCATTATCCCAGCACACCTCACACGAATCCTTTGCCATATGTATTAATAACCTTCCTTCATAAATGAGGAAACAGATGCTCAGAGAGAAATGACAGCCTAGGACCCCATGGTCAGCAACTGACTGGACTGGGACTGTACCCATGTACCTGGGCTATCTGATAAAATACTTGCTTATCACAGTACTTTTTTTTTTTTTTACTGATCCCCAAGTCCTGGCCCATTCCAGTGCCTGGGACAGAGAGAAACCACAACTTCTTTACTCTGAGTCAGCAAAACTATAGACATGGAAGGAGACAGCATCTTAGGACCATCTTGTCCTACCCTCCTGTTTTCTTCAAGCTCAGAGAGATGAAGGGACTTTCTCGAAAGCATCATCGCAGTGGAACTGGGACTGGAACCCAGGTGTGGTTCCTTGAGTTTATCTTCCTCTGATTCTCATGGATCTCACGGAATAAAAGACGCTGGTAGAGCACGGTCTGTATTCCAGGCCATCGGCCCCCAACTTTTTGGCACCAAGGAACAATTTTGTGGATGACAAATTTCCACGGACTGGGGGTGAGGGGGTGGTTTTAGGATGATTCAGGTGCATAACATTTATTGAGCACTTTATTTCTAATCTAATGCTGCCACTGATCTAATAAGAGGAATCAGTCCACAGCCCAGAGGTTGGGGACCCCTGTTCTAGGCAATGCTTTTATTCAAGGAGGCATTAACAGTGTTGGAAAGAAGGTGACCAGGGAAGAAACTGCTCTTAAAACCAAATTATAAAGCATTATTGGAGGGACAAAGAATACGAAAAGATCCCAAGGAAGGGAATGATTTTTGTCTTTATCCATTTTTAGGGCTGTCTGGTGAAAAACAGGCTTGGCAAGATGTGAGGAGCAGTGGATATAGTGGATACCAAATCCAGATTTTTTTGAATAAAAATTCCAAATGGGGGAGATAACCACTTCCTCATTAGTCCTGGAGCTTTCCAAGCATAGGCCAAATCTATCGATCTATATCCATCCATTTATCCATCCATCCCTCTCTCTCTCTCTCTCTATCTATCTATCAAAGATCCGCACCTCTAAGACACTTTCATCTCTAAAATTTCACAAGCCTTTGAAATGTACTAAAGTCATACAGGGAAGCCACGCAGTAATTCTGTACTCCCTGCTCATTGTTTTTAGGTTAAAAAAAAAAAGTCTCTTATAATATAAATGGATATAAAGTCTACCTATTAACACATATTTAAGAGGGAGAGTAAAAAAGCACCCATATCATTAACTTAAATCATGAATACTCTCTGAAGTGTAAAAAAAAAAATCAACTCACTTTTCTTTAAATCTTCTTAAAAGGGTCTAAGAATAGTCCTTCAAATAATCCTTGAAGTATGCAATTTTAATTTGGACACATGGTAATTTCAGTCTACCTGTTGAAAGAGACAAGAGAGAAATCAGTCATTTCTGACGAGGCTGCTGTTCTGACAAGCAGCAGCTGAGGTTCAGGCAGCTGGAGGGGGTTGGGAATGGGGTTCGGGGTGGGCAGCAGCAGTAGCTTTGGCCCAACACTCAGAGGACAGGCGACTGAGACAGGGATTCCAGTGCCTGGCACATAGCAAACGCTCAATAAATATTTAATCAATGAATGAAGAAAAGGATGGATGAGTAAGTGAGCATGATTTATCATCAACCTGTGGATATGGGGAGTTACCCTATAGGCTCAGGTCTCAGACTCTTAGGGAGAAACCTAATTTCCAGGCACTCGGCATACTATGGAGAATGATGCAGAGAAAGGCTCATGCTATAGTGGAGAGAGCGGGGGTTTTAGAAGCAGCCATATGTGTTTGAATTCAGGCTCTACCACTTATAACTGTACAGTCCTGGGCTATCTTATTTATTGATGTTTACTGCATGCATGCATGTGTGCTAAGTCATTTCAGTCACGTCTGAGTCTTTGCAACCCTATGGACAGTAGCCCACCAGGCTCCTCTGTCCACGAGGATTCTCCAGGCAAGAACACTGGAGTGGGTTGCCATGGCCTCCTCCAGGAGATCTTCCAGACCCAGGGATCTAATCTGCATCTCTTACATTAGCAGGTGGGTTCTTTACCACTAGTGCCACCTGGGAAGTCCATTTATGTTTACTACTGTCATTAAATTCGATACTTAGCCCATTTGTCAATTTTCAGTGCTTTTTCTTTCTGAATACAATCATTTAAGTTCATACATTTCCTTTAAGTACTGTCTTAGCTATAATTCCACTTAAATTTTTTTTTCTTTTGTATTGGGGTATAGCCGATTAACAATGTTGTTCGTGATAGTTTCAGGAGAACAGGGAAGGGACTCAGCCATACACATACATGTATCCATTCTCCCGCAACTCCCCTCCCATGCAAGCTGCCACGTAACAATAAGCAGAGTTTCATGTGCTATATAGTAGGTCTTATACAGCTGGCTATCCATTTTAAATAAAGCAGTGTGTACATGTTATATCTGATATTTCTCTTACCATTTATAAGTATTTTATAATTCATATTATCATTTCTTTTTTGACTCATGAGTTAGTTAGAAGTGTTTTTGTGAATCTCTCTCAATGTATTCTTTTCCCCCAAAACTATTTATCCCCTGCCCAACGCATCTTTTAAAACTCATCTTTCTGTTATTGATTTCTAGCTTAATTGTCCTGTGGTGGGGGAATGTGGTTTGCAGGATACTGATTCCTTGAAATTTACTGAGATGCATTTTATAGCCCACGATGTAGTCAATTGTTGTGAATGTTTCATGTGTGCTTAGAAAGAACGTGTATTCTCTAGTTATTAGGTGCAATCTCCGGCTAGTATTTTGAAAATCTACGTGCCCCTCCCATTTCCTTATCTGTAAAAAGGTACCCAAGCAATACACATTAGTTCCCTCCTGCCATTTAGAATTACGCTTCCTGACAAAGAGGTTGTGCAGACAGAAACAGAGAGAGTACAAAGATAGCCAGATGCGCTGTTTCTTGCTGATCACAATATTAATAAGAGTAGCCTAGATTTATAAAGCATTTGAAATATTCCACTGATGAGCACACCTCCCATTTGATTCCTTAGTCTCCAAGCCTGTGGGTGGTTGCCCAGGCGGTGGAGGTAAGGACCCGCGTGGAGCAGGGACACGCCCATCAGCTGGTGGGGCCGTTCACTCGGCCTCCACCCCGGAACCACAGGGACCCTCCGTGACTCCCCTCCGGCTCGCTCCTCACATCCGCTCAGTCTGGTCTACTTGCTGACTCTCAAATCTATCTCCTTCTCACCCTCAATGCCAACATCATTTCTTACCTGCTTTATTTCAACAGACCATTAAATTCCTACTGTTCTTAGAATGTGATTACAAGAAAATTCAGGCAAAATCTTGGCAGGCACAGCTCCACAGAGGGGCTGGGGTAAGTGTTGGTGGATGGGTACCAGAGCATCAGAATTGGGAAGGGGACAGTGATGTTACGTTGATCAAACAGAGGCATGCGTTTAGAAAGACAAATACTGAGTTCAAATAGTCTTCCTCTAATTCAGCCCTTCCAGTGACCTTGCTTCCATCCCACTCCAAGTTCTTCCTCTGCTTCTCTGAGAGAATTCCTGAAAGAGTCATCTAAACTATTTCCCCCACACCCACACACCCCACAAATTACTGTGGTGGGGCTCCACCTCCAGAGAGTTCTTTTTAAGATCATAATCATGTTGTCACTGCAAATTCCAAAGACTCCTCAGTCTGCAGTGGCCTCCCTGGGTCACCGTCCAGCAGTATCACCAGCTCCTCTGGAAACCCTTCTGCCTCGGCATCGACAACACCTATCTCTTCTGATTCTCCTTTACCTGCAAGGATGTTCTCGGCCTCTTGCTAGTTCTTTCTTCTTTGTCTCATCCTTAAATGTGAAAGAGTAAAGAGCTCCCTCTTTCTTCAATTCTGTGGCTTCAATTGGCATTTTCATAATTTGTTATTTGTTAATGCAAAACTGGTATATAACATTATTAGTTTCATGATTTAATTAGAATTGTTTCAATAAAATAAGAACCATAAACTACTATTTATTAAGTGCACATTAAGTGTATGCCAGTCACTGTGCTAAACAGTGTTTCACTTAATCTTCACAATAACCACCTGGGGGGTTAGTTTTTGTTAATACTCCTTTTTTGTTTTTTTTTTTTTAACAGATGAGAAAGGAGAAGCTAAGAAAAGAAATATAATTTGCCCAAGATCGCTCAGCTACTATGTGGCAGAGCTGGGATTCAAAACACCATCTGTCTAATTCAAAACTTGTGCTCTCAGCTACTACATTCACTCATGCTCCCCTCCTAAGCCCTGGAACTCACCATTCTCCCACAGTGTCATGCACTTCATACTTCCATCTTGCTGCCCTTGGAATGGAAGACCTTTATCTGCACTGTGAGCTGAGAAAAGTCTGTCCATTGTTCAAGGCTCAGCTCCACGGCCCTCGTCCTGTAACGTTTCCCACAAGCCCAGCCAGTTTAATTGTTCCCATCTTCTTCCTGTGGCAGCTCTATAATGATACCAAACCATCGATTCATCCATCTGACCACGTATCCATCCATCCACCAAGAACCACACAAATATGGTAGAAGATTGTTTACCCAGAAGCATCCAAACACAGGATGTTTTATGCTCAGCCTTTGAGAAAAAAAACATATCATGGTTTGGTCAAAATTGAAGAAAATTTGCTGGAGGTCACAGTATGTAGGGAAGAAATGTGCTCTGCTAGGTATCTGGGAATGCTGACTGGTCAGGGACTGCCATCCCTGTGATCTGGTTAGGGTGGTTTCCAAGGTTACCAAAGCAGGTCTGTGCAATTTCCCTTACCCAGTCCCTATGTTTCTAAATCCTATTGATACACCAAGCCCGGCTCAAATACTCCTTCAACCTCAAAGCTTTCCCTGACTCTCGTCTCCCATCAGGCACGAATGAACCAGGACCTCCACACCACAATGAGTCTGTGACATCGCTGATGACACTCAGCACTTTTATCATCCGTGGCTAATACTGCAGTTCAAAAAGCACGTCAACATATTCATTTCCTGCTTTACCTTCCCTGCTGCTCTCCTTGGAGCTCGGAACTGTACCCACTTCACCTTCACGATGTTTTCAGAACCAAATCCAGTGCCAGGCACACAGACACTCAAGTGTGACTGCCCAGCTGAAACTGGTGACCCTGGCCTTGAATGGAGAAGGCCATTCAACAACCACTCAAAGGCAAGCACCTAGTTGTGGACACAGCTGGTGTAAAGTACACAGAAAATCCTATACAAAATCCTTCTACCTCTTTCCAACTGACCAAAAAAAAAAAAAAAAAGGATCAGGAAAGGGGGACCATGCATCCGCTTAACCTGAGGTTTCTGAGGCCTGTGTCCCATAGTTCACATGTTGGGGTGATGGCTTTTGATATTATCCAGGATGACCTAGGCAGGGAAAGATGATGTCTGAACACATTCTAGTTTCCATGGTCAAGAAATGAGTTAGACCCTAGAGACAGACAGTGCTTCAATATCAACTATGACAGTCACCTGCTTTACTGAGGAGGGCAAGGGAGGTCAAATGACTCCATCCAAGTCATGGGACAGAAAGGACCGTGCAGACAAATTTTCCCTGGCCCCTCCTAGACTTGCAAATGAAGCCTCTAGGAAACCGAGTGCTCTCTGCATGGCTAAAAATAAACTCCCCGAAACTTCATCTAGCTCTATCACGGCTGCAATTTACAGCGTCTCGAGCTTCAGCGTGGTGTAATTAGCAAATGGATTATAATAATTTATTTCTGGTTTGAAAGCTCGAATGAACACGACCTTCCAGCGGAATGGGAAAATAAGAGGCTGGGAGCCAGCCACACTCCTCCAGCCTCTTCCGATGCCACAATTTTGATGCTGGCCAGCATCCATCTACTGATGTCTGATGGATGTGCCAAAGAGAGGGGATTGTAACTCTGGCCTTCGGGGTTCCTGGGAAGCAAGACTTCTAGAATATAGCACTCCCCTCGACCTCGCCCCATGAAGGATCCATGCTCATTTTTTCAGGGGCCGCAATGGTGTTCTAAACCATCCTTCCAATGAGCAAGAACATCCAAGGGCAGGGAACGTTTGCTGTGATGTCTCCTAGTAGCCACCACTGAAGCCTGGATCAAGAAGAGGCTAAGAAAAGGCTGGACGGGGGTCAGAGAGGAACTGTTTGGGTTTTGTTGTATGTGTGCCATGACTGACAACCATGCCAAGTCTCTTTTACAAAATGCTGACAGATACGTATCTTCCTCACAAGATTATCATGGTAATTAAATCAGAAAAATGTATTATGTCTGAACACATTCTAGTTTCCATGGTCAAGAAATGAGTTAGACCCTAGAGACAGACAGTGCTTCAATATCAACTATGACAGTCACCTGCTTTACTGAGGAGGGC